GAGGAGCCTGTATAAGTACTTAATTCTTACTTATTATGGAGTAGCTCCATTTTATTGATAAGGCGTGCTATGCTTTATGTCTAGATGTCCCCAAAGCCTCATGTGCTCGTAGGTGGGGCTTTTGCTAAGTGATTGGATTATGGGGAGTGATGCTCACTAGTAAGTTTATAGTTAAATGTGAGGTTGGGAGATGAAGCCAGGTCGGAGGAAATGGATCACTGGGGGCGTGGCCTGGAAGGGTCTATGTCCCTCCTCCTCCCTTGATCTCTCTCCACTTCCAGTCTGCCATGCCACGAGCAATTCTCCTTTCCAAGCCCCTCTGTCTTGTCACCCTGCCATGGGGCCAGTGGGCTATGGACCAAATCCTCTAAAAACTGAGCCAGAAAAAACCTTTCCTCCTTAAACTTGTGAGTGTTGGGTATTTTGTCTCAGCAACAAGAAAGTAGCTAAGACAGGGCACATCTTGAGCATCCATTGATCAACTGATGGACATTTGGGTTGTGTCCATGTTCTGAGCTCCAAGAGCAATGCTGTGGGGGATGTTTTGTACACATTTTTGTGTACATGTCTGTTTTCATCTTTTGAGTATACACTTAGCAGCGGAAATGCTGGGACATATGGTAATTCTACTCTTAAACTTTTGAGGAAATATGAGACTGTTTTCCCAAATTGGCTGCACTGTTTTTCATTCCCACTAGCAAGCAATATATAAGGGTTGTAATTTCTCCAGGGTCGACATTGGTTATCATCTGAATCTTTTCTTACAGCCATCCTAGTGGATGTGAAGTGTTATCTCGTTGTGGTTTTGATTTGCATTTCCCTCATGACTAATAACATTTTCATGTGCTTGCTGGCATTTGTATACCTTCTTTGAAGAAATGTCTACTCAAATCCATTGCTCAGTTTTGAACTGGATCTTTTTTATTATTGACTTGTAAAGACAGCCAAGCTCTGCAAACAGCCTAGATGCCCATCAACAAGTAAACAAAGAATGAAAATGTAGTACACACACACACACACACACACACACACAATGAGATAATATTCAGCCATAAAGAAGAATAAAATTATGTCACTTGCAGGAAAATGGACAAGACTTAAGAACATAATAAGTGAAATAAGTCAGAACTTAAATTTCACAAAAAGTTAAATTTCACGTGGTTTCTCTTATATGGGAAGTATAAAATATAAATAGATAAATAAAATAAAGGACAGATGGTAGGAAATAAGATGCAGACTTTTGCAGGTAGAGAGGAGGATCATGGGAATGGGGAAGGTAAGAGAGAGGGGGCTAAAGGGGTGGGAAATGATCAGGATATGTTATATGCATGTATCAATCTCCCAAAATAAGCATCAGTGTTATGTCACACATATACAGTATAAAAAAATCTCAAACTGGGAATAACCCACATGCCCATTAGTAATGAGATGAATAGGTAATTTTTGGTGTATTTATATAATGTAGTATTGTATTTTAATGAGAATTAATTATATTTAACTACATATAATAATATGGTTGAATCTCAAAAGTATAAACTATGGAGATAAAGAAGAGGAATATGATGTGAAACCATTACATAAGGTATGGTAACATGAAATAAATCTATGCTGTTGGCAATCAACACAGTGGTAGGGGTGTGCACTGGAAGG